ATATATATATGTATATATAGGTCATTTATAAATTGTTTAAATAAGCTAAGGGGCGGCAATACGCTGGAACTGTGTTTAAATAAATCTTCGCATATATAATACACGAGATAAACGATTTCTTTTTACTTATTATTGTTAATAATCTTCTGTTGCAGTTGCAGTTGAATTTGTTTTTTTCTATGTCTCACTTAGCGCTTCTGCAACACGAATGCCAACTGCCACACTGCGTTTCCCTTTCGAATTGTGCTCTTTAGTATTTAATTTAAGAGATCTGAAATCGAAATCATGTACCTAAAGTATCTCTGACTAATTTGCGCTGTGCCTACAAGTAGGCGTTAGTTTCTTGTAAAACCCGAGAAATCGCCGTGCGTCGTAGAGTAGGCAACACAAAATACTCTCTCTCACACACACACACACACGCATACACACAGCAATGCAATAATATTTAGAAGCAACAATCATACATGGAATTTTCATGAAATCTATAGCTACAAGTAAAGATCGAACAAATCAATGTAAATTATAAATTATACACTAAATATTACTATAACTGACAAAAAAAAAAAGAAAAGAAGAAATGAAAAAAAAAAAAAGAGTTTTATGACAATATTTGTACGCTGCTGTTTGAGCTAAACCTTAACCCAGAACAAAACCTTTATCTAGGCCTGCGAAGGAGAAATACATTCAAGTACTACCTAAACTAATAAAGTACGTATCCAACTCTATCTACACCTGAGAATTTCCAAAAAATTACAAAACTTTGGCATGAAAGAAAACTCGAAATGAAAAATGAATATTTACACTGAAAAAAAAAAAAAAAAGAAAACAAGCGGAAATTAAAGAAAATTAGCTTATCATTGAGAGATATACAAGCATACAGAACTTGTAGATAAATGTAAGAAGTGCAATAGAGTTGATCGTGCACATAATATATATAAACAATATACAGTTTACTTTAAAACAGAACAAATTGTTAAATGTGTTTCTATTAGTTAATTTCTTGCCCAGCGAAAGCAAAACAATATATGTACACCAAATATTTTCACGAAAATATAGAAGAAATTATTTTATGCAGACTATATAAGTAATACAACAACATACTCAAGTACAAGCTAAGAGAAAATTCTATTGAAACATTTTATGACTTGTATAAGAATTTATGTTTAAAGAAATAATAAAACATACAAAAAAAATAAATAAAAAATGTTAGTGCAAAATAAATGTGTAAAATAAACTATTGGCGTGTTTTCTTCTTGTAAAAATATTTGCCGATGAGAAAGATTGAATAATTCCAGCGATCTAGTAATCCATCTATGTCATGTACAACATTAGGGACCTATTCACAACAAAAATATTCAATACAACTATACGACTCAACACGAGCACATAACACTAACAGATCTTTAAACTCTTAAACTCAAATACATAATTAATACATAGACATACATAACATAGACAATACACGGTCAAGATGCCTTGTTTCAAGCAGGAGAAGAGCCTTGAGTTCCGCTCTCGGCGGGATACCACCAATGATAGGGATCCGATGGCGCCCAAGCCGGTTCGTCCTCGCGCCATGCGCTACCATGGACTCTTTGGCATGTCCATTGCAGCCCAGCATCTCATTGTGGACGAGAAATGGACGCCCAGCTGTATTACCGATCTCTATGGCAACATGGCTGAGCTGCTGAGTAAGTGACCCATCATCCATCCTGCCATTTGCAAAGATATTGTGGTCTGATCTCGAGCGAGCGTCTAGAGCGGCGCGTTATCTACAAACAGCACGAGACAAGGACCCATCGTGCCCTGCTCCTGGTGGAGAACAAGCGCGTGAAAACTGAATGCGCAGATGGACGCCTCAAGCTGCAGAAGATATCGGTCGGCAACAATGCCCACGAGATACGCAACATGCTGAACAATCACAGCAGCCTGCAGCGTCTCTATCAGAGGATGCCCATCTATCTGGTCGCCGACAACATCAATCAGCGGACCTTCGTCATGCGCAAGGAGCGCGATCGCCTGGACGCTCGACTGCAGCAGCTGAAGCAGAAATATCGAGTTCTATTGGTAATATATTGCTGAATAATCGTGTGGATTATCGCAATTCATGTTCTGTACCCGAACACACAACAGATGGAGAGGTCCAGGGCGGTAAATATGATTAAGTACGAGAATGAGTATATCTTGCAGGAGGAGCTACAGTCGCGTGTGCTCCTCAAGAAGATAGAAAACTCGAATGTGCGCTTGAATGCCATACGCACCATAAATACGACATATAAGAAAATGCGGCAGGTCCTGCTGCAGGATGAGATTTTCTATGAGCCGATTCTGCGCTCTCTCGATGACGATATGGAGGACCAGGTGAACTTCATTAAGCACATACTCTATCTGGGCATGCCGGCCATCGCCAAGTTCAAAGTCCTGAATCGCGAGCTCTTGCAATTGTCGGAGAAGGCTCGCAATAATCAACTTGCCAAGATTCAGATATTGAACTCGCTGAAAAAGCCAATTGTTATTGGACCACCGCAGGTCGTAGTCAGAGAGATACAGACCAATAATCCCAAGCGTTATCTTCGCCTCACCGAGAGCATGGCGATTCTCAAAGCTGAGCTGCAGACGATTGAAAATACAATCAAAAATCTTCGATTGACCGTTTTGTGTTCGCAAGCCAAGGAGATTTATCCACGGTGAGTGCTTTTAGAACCCAAGTAGATTATCTAATGATAAAAGAATTATTGACTTTTTAGCATTAAGACTCAAATGGAAAACAATGAAAAACTAAAACGGGAAATCGAAAAGAAAATGCAGGCCAAACGGATGCTTGAGCAAAAATTTAAATGCTCCACTCTGCTCTCGGATGTACTACTAAACAATCTATCCGAGGAAGAAATTAAGTATGCAGCTCTGATAACACTTGACTTTCATATGTGTATTTATATAGCCCATTTACCTGCCCGACAGTCGTCTAGAGCGCATTAGAGAGCTACGGCTAATGATGAAGAGCGACAATGAGTTTGAGGAGCAAAGTATCGCTCACATACAGAATCGGGCCGATGCCTATGTGCTATTGCGGTATGCTTACATTATAGGGGCATCTCTTTTTTGTATAATCTTCCCCTCTCCCTCTCTCTGTCTCGGTCATTACCAGATGGACCGTTTGGAATCTGTGGGAGATCCTTCGTCATGTAGATCGCAATCCTAAACTGTACAAAAGACAATACCCGAATGAATTCTTAAAACTTCCACTTTTGAAATTCGAGCTTCTTGAAATAAGAGCCTTCCCCCCCGAACTTTTTGAGGAAGACGGTTCGCAAATGACCTCTTGAGCACTTAAAGCAGAGAAATCTAATCACGTATTCCCTTCTCCACACAGTTGATTCAATTATGCATTACCTTAAGCGTAAGGTATACAAACTAATGCAGTCATTCACTCCCGCCATGGCAGCGGCCATTCCCCAAAGTCGAGAGCGTTATCATCGCATTTATTTGGAGACCGTTGAGCCGGTCAGAGTGCTTGATGATGACCAGCAGGACGGGCCAAAGATCGATGATCTGTTGGAGGACAGGACCCTGGCCTCCATACCGAATCGCAAACAGATCAAGGCACAGAGCGCCAGACTTGTGGAGGAGGCTTCCAGGCGGGACGAATCGTAGCCTTTGGTTTTGGATTCATGTCAATAAATTTTCTAGTTTTTTACATTTCCACAAATATATTAAACGTCCACTGATCTCTGGTATTATTTTATTGCACAAAAAGAGGAATTTCGGGCTAGCTAAGGACTATTAGCTTTGTTTCATTGTAAGGACTATTTTCTAGAGAAAGAAGTGGCTGTGCGGTTGCTTTCAAAATGATGAAATTAAAATCGAATGCCTATGCTCGACTACTTGAAAAATTATTCATTACAATCGCGACGCACATAACAACAACAACAAACTCTAAAACGCAAAATATTTACATATATATATAAAATTATATTTACATATATATTAAAATATTTAAATATATAAAATACATTCAAAATGCCGTGCGGTGTACGAAGTAAGAATCTATTGGCCCGCCAAAGGAGGCACAAGGGTATTCTTCAACCACTGCGGCTAGCGCGTCCTCGAGACCCCAATACGCATGGACTCCTCGGCACTGCGAATGTCACCCAGCACTTAGTCATTGACGACACCTGGACGCCCACTTCGCTAGTCGAGCAATACACCCATTTGAACAGCCTGCTGGGTAAGTAATTGTAAGCAGCTCTGTCGAGTGACTCAACGCACAAACTATGCCTCAGTCGTTCGCAGCATCTACAATAAGTTCGAGAAGGAGGCCAGCCAAAAGCGCATTCGGGCGAAAGCAGCGGAATTGAGAGAAGAATGCCACGATGGGCGCTTGAAACTGCAAAAGATATCGGGCGGCGACAGCGCCCATGAGATACGCAACATGCTGAGCAATCACAGGGCTATGCAGCGCCTCTTCCATAAGATGCCCATAGACCAGGTGGCCGACAATATCGATCAGAGCACGTTCGCATTGCGCAAGGAGCGGGATCGTCTACAATCCCGCCTAGAACAGTTAAAGCGTAAATTGTATCAGTTGCAGGTTCGTATATAGGGCAGCCTAAATTCTCTATCCCTGTAGTGGGCAAAACCTAATTTGGCAATTCCAAATAGATAGACCGTTCCAGACTCGAAAACCGCATCAAATATGAGAATGAGTTTATTTTGGAGGAGGAAATAAAAGCGCGAATTTTACAGAAAAAACTCGATTGTTCAACTGTGAAGGTCAGGGCGATAAAAACGATAAATACCACATACAAGAAAATGGTGCGCATCCTAGTGCAGGATGAGATATATTATGAGCCCATTTTAAATTCACTCGATGATGACATTGTTGACCAGACTAGGATGATTAAGTTTATTATTGACCTGGGCTTGCCTGCCATAGACAGATTCAAGCAGCTCAAGCGAGAGTTTCGACGGTTGGAGGAGAGATCGCATGCCGATTTCCAAGCCAAGATCAAATTTGTTGCCGAACTGCGGAGGAGACGGACTTTTGTGCCCCTCCCGGCCAAGGACATGCGCCAATCTATTAATATCCCGGAACGCGAACGCTACATGCGTGAGACGAGAAGTATGACGGAGCTTAAGAACGAATCGGTGGCCATTGAGAAAGAGATCAACGAGCTAAAATACAATACACTTTGCGCACAGGCAAACGAGATTTATCCACGGTTAGTCTACAAAAACTTTGGGCCTTGTACCACTCAAAAACTGTGTCTGTTTCAGCGCCAAGAGTCAGATAAAGAAAAACCATCAGGTGAGCCGTCAAATCGTTTGCGAGCATTTGCGTCGCGACGTATTGGAGGAGAAACAAGTCTCTGCGAGTATGCTGCGAGGTGTATTAGTCCACAATCTGAACGAGGAGGAAATAAAGTATGTATATCATGATTTTTGAAACATATTTTCACATTTTGATTTGCCCGACAGACGACTCACATACATCGAAACACTGAAAAACGAATTGCAAAAAGAAAAGGAGATTCAGAAGGACACGTTGGAATACATCCAGAATCGTGCGAAAGCTTTCATCATGATACGGTAGAGTCGATTATTTTCAGATAGCTCTCGTTGCTATTGCTCATGAATTTCTATTGCATCCGCAGCTTGTTCCTTTGGAATCTTGCCGAGATCCTGCGATCCATCGATCGCAGCCCCTATTCCACTCGTCGGCGTTATAGAACCTCGTACTTGCGATTGCCTCTACTCAAATTCGAGCTGTACACAATGCTGGCGATGGCGCCACCGATTTTTAAGGAAGACAGTTGAGTAGAGCTGGGATAAATTTTTTAACTACATATTTATGTTCTCGTTTAATATTCAATGCTCAGTTGAGAAAATCATGCATCTGGTCAAGCGCAAGCTCTACAAGCTGGTGCAGGCCTACCAAAATGTTCCACTTCGCGACCTGAACACCAAGAAGTTTGTTGATGAGTATCACAGCCGTTACATGGATCGCATGAGACTCAGTGCCGACCGGCAGAGCAGTCAACTAATTGAGCCCAGGATAAGTTTTGAAGATGATAAAGTGGACCCCGCTATACTCACACGTAAACAGATTAAGGCGAAGAGTTCAAAGATCTTGGAGGAAATCAGAGAAAGCTACGACTAAGATGTATATATATCTTATATATATATGCATGAGGCATGCTGAATCTTGATGAGGACAACGTCGACCTCAGTATTCTGTCCTGGACACAGGTTAAGGCGATGAGCGCCATGCTTGTAGAGGAGGATATCAGACACAGCTACAACTAAGACCTATAACTTTTATATTTTTTTTACAAAATATTAGATTGATGGCATATTTAATTGTTGACTAATCAATTTAGATAAATATAAACCAAACAATCGAAAGTAAAATGTTTTTATTATATTGTATATAAATGATATGAGAGTAGTTATAGTTTTAGGTAACTCGGCTTTTATTGCTCGGGTCCGTATATTAAATCTACAGTGTAAGTCTAGAATCTGTGGATCTTAGGGTATTCCGGTTATGCTTTAAATTCGATAAGGTAATGGAACAATTTTCCGAGGATATATATGTTGGTTATTTCTTGCGTGTTGCTCTTCTTCTTGCTAATCAACCTGCTGTTTCACTAGCACGTTCGATTACATCAATCGCAACTAGCTGGCAACCTCGTCAGCACCACACTCGATATTAGTGTGGTATTATATGAGCCAATACTATGCATGAACCGATACATCCGTAAGATATTCTATTCGAATTGTTATTCGAATGATAGTATTTCTCCGACATATACCATATTTACATTATACTATTCATTTAAACTTTCAAGTCTATATCTTTTATAATTAATGAGATGATGAGCAAGATAAACAGGTGAATCATTTTGATTAACAATATGAAATGTACATTGTAGGGACAGCCACATACCTTTCTGCCATAATAGTAACATCGATAAGGCTTCAGTCCTTGCTTGGCTGAGAATTTGCTTTCAAACTTATGCCAGCCTTCGACTACAGGAAAACAAATCATTCAAATACAATCGCGACGCACATAACAACAACAACAACAGCAAACTCCAAAAAAACACACATATATTCATATGAATAAATACATACATAACTAAATACATATCTACCAATCATATAAAACACATAACACTCCAAAATGCCTTGCTATAAGCGGAACAGACCACCATCAAAGCGCCAGTTGCGAGAGAGGAAGCGGACTGTGGTGAAGCCGGTGCGTCCTCGAGACCCCAATGTGCACGGACTCTTAAGCTACTCGCACGCAGCCCAGCATCTAATATTTGACGAGAACTGGACGCCCAGCTCGATCACCGAGCAATATACATTCATCAATAGTCTGCTGAGTAAGCGAATATAAAATACATTATATATGAGATAGTATATCCAGAGCTGCTTAACTGAATCAAATAAATCAAATATATTCCATGGTCCAGCTTCTCGGCTTATCTACAACAAACATGAGAAGGAGACCCTTGTGAGTCGTCTGCATCAGACGAGCGAGCGCTTGAAGGAGGAGTGCATGAATGGGCGCCTCAAGCTGCAGAAGATATCGGTCGGCAACAATGCCCACGAGATACGCAACATGCTGAACAATCACAGCAGCCTGCAGCGTCTCTATCAGAGGATGCCCATTCACCTGGTCGCGGACAACATCAATCAGAGCACATTTGTCATGCGCAAGGAGCGGGATCGTCTGCAGGCTCGCTTGGAGCAGCTGAAGCAGAAGCTGAATGACTTGCTGGTAAGTGGTTAACCCTGAATCATTGGGAAATAATGAAGCAAGTTCTTAAATAGATAGAGCGTGCTATTGTGGAAAACCGCATCAAATATGAGAATGAGTTTGTATTGGAAGAGGAACTCGTGTCTCGCATGTTGCTGAAGAAAATCGAAAACTCGACTGTGAGGTTCAGGGCGATCAAAACGATCAACACAACATATAAGAAAATGGTGCAAGTCCTGCTGCAGGACGAGATATTCTATGAGCCCATCTTGAGTTCCCTCGATGATGACATCGCAGAGCAGACGCATATGATCAAGTACATCATTTATCTGGGCCTGCCTGCCATAAGCAAGTTTAAGGTGCTCAACAAGGAGTTTCGACGACTGGAGGAAAAGTCGCGTGTGGACTATGCGGCCAAGGTGAAGCTGCTTGCCGATTTGAAGAAGCCGCGGGTTTTCGTTCCGACCAAGGACTTGCAGGACATAGTTGGAGACTCGAGAAAGGATCGCTATTTGCGGGAAACAAAAAGCATGGTGGAACTTAGGAAAGAACTGCAGAGGATCGAGAAAATCATCAAGGAATTAAAGTTCACAACACTTTGCTCGCAAGCCAAAGAGATTTATTTACGGTTCGTTTGTAGAAAAACATTTGATTAGGCAATTTTAGAAACGTATTTCTGCAGCGCGAAGACTCAGATGGAAAACAATAAGAACCTGACGCAGCAGATTCAGTTTGATCTAATGAGTCGGGAAATGCTCCGTAACAAACTAAAATATTCGGGCGTACTAGAAGGCGTACTGTTGAACAATCTGTCCGAGGAGGAAGTAAAGTGGGTATATGATATATGAGTAATTGAATTTATTTTGAAACCTGTCAACTGTCGATAGTCGCTTGGAATACATTCGTTCATTGAAAGCCACATTGACTGCAGACAAGGCTTTCCAGGAAACTAGTGTGGACCATATAAGAAATCGTGCGAATGCTTACGTAATGCTGCGGTAAGGCGGATTTGGAAAATATCAGAGTTGATAATTAAGAAAAAATGGAAAATCGATTTAATTTGCAGCGTTAGTCTTTGGAATCTCGTGGAGATATTGCGGCACATAGATCACAGCCCTTTTATGATTCGACGTGCATATCCCAACTCATATTTGAAATTGCCGTTCCTCAAGTTCGAGCTGTTCGACATGTTTGCGGTCAACCCGCCGCTTTACGAGGAAGATGGTTGGGTACATTTACTATTTGCTTCTGCATCATATTTATAAATTCTCCTACCTACCAATAGTGGATAAGATCATGCATTTGCTTAAGCGTAAGCTCTACAAGCTGATGAAGGGCTACGAAAAGCTTGCCGAGGCGAATAACCGCGAGCCAATTAGCAGCTTTAGGGAGAAGTACCACAAACGCTTCCTGTCCACTCGCCTATCCTACATGGACACACAGGGCACCGAAGGCGACATGAAGGTGGTCGACTACGATGACGGCAAAGTCTACCTGAGCGTTCCGTCACGAAAACAGATTAAGACTTTGAGCGCCAAGGTGGTAGAGGAAGCCAAAGCTCATGAAGAGTAGTTGGATATACCCTGTTTTTCAAATTTCACAGATTGATATTATGATTAGATTGATATTAGATTTTAATTCAATTTAACTATAAACACGAATCTTACACTAAATTGTTGGCTTTATTACTTTTTCTATGGTGGTATATTTAATTTGGGGAATGTACAATGCGTTTAATATTAATAAAATA